TCCAATGTAATCGAGTATCTGTATTTTTCTAATTCGCACCAGATCTTGTTCTCAATTAACACAAACTGGGAAATATCACACCATGTGTCGCTTCTCATTCAACCGTATTTTTATCATTCTTTATGTAAGGCTTGCATTGGAGCTAAAATTATCTACTGGCAAGCATTACAGTAGTGAGTTCCGAATAACCATTTTCACCAAAGCGTCTACAGATTATTTGAACACGTTGTGCATTTGAGACTTCAGTTCACGAGCCCTTTGTTTCAACCATGGACAGTTCCCCGGCATAATAAATTACTGTCGTTGGCGTCAGTTGGGGGGGGGTGGGTGGGAGAAATCACATGTTAAAAAAGAAAGTAATTTACAGGTATCGATAGCTCATACAACCGTATTGATGCACAAACCCATTCGGGACAGAAACAATTTTTTGACTACGGTCTCAAAACGGACAAACATAATAATATTCAATTTTACGACAAGAACGGAGACAGAGTAGATAACTACGCTTTGTACGTTATTGATCTTCATTAGTAACATGTTCTGGACGGATACTGCTCAACTACAACTTCTCAGATATGCAGAAAAACAAAAGAGTTTGCAATCAACCCTATACGAGGCAGCACAGTGGTTATGAAATTCAAAGAAAACGCTCTCATTTTATGACTGATAAACTATTGGTGTCCATCGAAGCATGTACGCAGTATGTGCTTCTGCAAAAGCTATCGTAATCAAAGTATTGAAAATGGGTTCTCTTAGCTCGGGTGAACTAATTTTCATTTCGCCTGTTTGCCGAGCACGTCAGCGGATTTGCGAGCGTTTCATCATTAGCCGAGGTGAAATCATCAGTGCTTGTGAAGTCGTAGCTACTTTATAAACACTGATTTCTCCGGCCGGATCAACGGTCAGTAGGATTCTCACATTTATCTGAGAGTATTATGAGGTAAATCTAATAGCGATCCTTCCTGAGACTGAACATATGCATGTGTGCGTACGTGCAAATTTCGTTTAGTTCTGTCCAGTTTGATTAACCTGACGGATTGTTCCATATAGTCCGAATAATAGAACTCTAGGCAACAATCATCCGGAAACCAAAAAGTTCAAATGTCAAATGGGAATTCATCACGTTTATAGCAGATGAAACTTGAACTGAAAAGCTAGGAAGCACTGGACAATTGTTTCCACGTGGTTGGGTCTAATCAGCAGTGCGAATCCATCGAAACAACTGAGGATCGAACCCGCGACTTCACAGGCAGAATGCAGACATGCTACCCACTCAGTTACCAGGCAGCTGATCAGACCAGTGCTTCATAGCTTTAAAGTTCATGCTTCATTGCTATGAACACGAAGAACTCCCATTTGAAATTCAATCAAATCCTCCATTACTCACGTGAAACTTCAAATGTATTGGATGTATTTCTTCCTTGTTCTAATCATGTTTAACAATGCGCGAATTTCGAACTCAATCACATGGGCGCAGATTGTGGTACGTTCCGCGCGAGTCGATCAGTGATCTGCTGAAAGCGATGAAACAAGCTACACGGTGGGGTTGCCATGTTCCACGAATCAAGACCTCGGTTTTGCAAATAATCTGGATTTCGTATATAATGAAATTTAACGAGACGGTATTTCGGAAGATCGGCCATGAAAAATGGTAAATCAACTAAAATGAAAACGTTTCCCATAATACTGGAATAAATGTGTCGTGGTTGGCTTTTTAATTTATTCATTACAAAGGACAATACTTTTGTTCCAGGTGATAACAAGATGCAGTTCCATCAAAAATTGATTCCGCATCGCCATTTTTCATCATTTTCCTCGATATCAACAAATTTATTCGATTCCGCTACACTGAAACCCTCTGTATTTTGGCTGAGAACCCCATCCTATTATGTATTCAATTTCATGTCGATGCTGAACAAAACCTTATACACTTTTTCGGATAGTTATCAGGAAAGATAACAACCCGATAGAGGCAAGTCTCGGTATTCTGGAGAATCGGACAAGGTTCACAAATTGATGGGTTCAATAGTATTCTTTATCATTGAGTCAAGCTGGACCACTGCGATTAATTTATCAAACAATAAAAGCGATAACATTTTTAATGCAATGGAATTGTTTGTGATAACCAACAAAGAACTAAGATCGAAGAAATAATTACATGATGAAAAACAATTGAACATTATTGTGAGATTGCGATAAACGAACGTTCACCATCTAAATTGATTGAGTCATTTGCACAAGATAACAACCGTCTACCGTGTAGCTCATGGGTAAGAGTCTGAAGTCCCATCCCAAATAACCGCGGTTTGAGTCCTGACAGGGTCACAAAAAATGCGCACTGCTGACGAGTCCCAAACAGGACGAAACAGCTGTCCAGTGCTCTTTGTTGGTTATTGCAAACATTTCCATCGCAATAAAATGCATACAAACCGTGGGGAATTAACGATCTCCCAATGAGTGAAACCCACATCTAACATCAGCAACAGTGCCTGGTGCCTGTAATAAACCGAATGAGCTAATCCAAACATTCACCATCTAAAAGCGATAACAAATCAAGATCCATCTCATGTTGAATAAGCAGAGATCGTCTTCAGCGCATAGTCATCTGTTTGACTGTTGCTTGCGTTTCCTTTCATCAGTCTATTTACACATTCGAAAGAATGTGCATTCTTGATATGATGTCCAGCATGCCCTGCAGTTCGAACTAGCCTCTGGTGTGAGATTAAGAGATATGACAGTTTGAAGCACTCCTGACACGTAAAACAGTTGTTGTTGTTGTTGTTGTTGGTGGTGGTGGTGGTGGTGGTGGTCAAACCGGATGACAGCAGTTCTATTGGCCGCTTCGGTGTTCCTGAAATAGGTATCATTATATATTCAATGAAAAAACTGGAATAAAGGATAACATAAACCTAAAAAAATAATTGAAGATGTATAAAAATATAGTGTGTGTTTACGTGCGTCAAGAACTTGTGATGATGAATTCCGAGAAATTTTCATGCCTCTCACTAATAAGCGAACTACCGTGAAAATAATAACTACGAAAACGGGGAAGAGATGTTGCACAGAAGAAAATAATTTCAGTCGTCGCGTGTAAATCACATAGTGATGTACGCCTGAAGTGAGTAAACTGAATAAGCGGCAGTTTGACTGTGATCACAGGTATCATTTTTCGGCTTTTGAATTGAATCAATGACTGTGCGAATAGTATGATCAGAAAGTGGAACATATATTCCGGTTACCGTGATACACTTCGGTAGTTTTCTTGTATTCCGGGGTCGGGGTCATTTCGCAGTTTGTATTCGCGATACTGAGAAAAACAATCTGCGGTTTCTCCCAACAAGTCCTGTCACTCAACGAGTATGTGGACATAAATGCGCTCTCGCGCATACACGATATGATGAAGCTACCCTACATTGTGGTCCTTTTCGATACGTTCGTGCACATCGCCCTGGGTAATAATCATTGGCATAATTTCATACGATGCGTAAATGTATACTATATAGTTGACACATCGATTGGCCTCTTTGCATGCATGCATGTGTACGAGAACGTGCACGCAAAAGCGCGCCAGAGTGATTTTTGTGTTTGTGTGTTTAGAGTTCCGAACACGAAACGACTGTTGACGGTCTAATTGAACAAGCGGTACCGTAACAACTCTTTCACTCACTGAATCGCTCGCTCGCTCTTTTCATCAAATCCATCTTCGTCCTGACGAACGTCGGGGTTCATGGAAGATAGACAGGTACAGCCAGATCTAAGTTGTTTACTACTTTACTCGAAAGCATAGTCCTATGTACATGCGCTTGAGGGCGCGCATGCGTGTGTGTGTGTGTACTGCCAAGACCGATGAAACCGCCAGCACTTGTATAAACAGTTACTAAGCCCTACATGCACCTTTTCATCATCATCAATTAATGATTTGTTTGATTGATGCAGTGCATTAAATCAGTCTCACATCCAAATCAGTCTTGAGCTGAGGTGTATTTCGGATCGCATATTGAATTGACAATCGATCGTTATCGAAATGAAAACAATTGTCTGGAAATAACTGATATTGTCTTGCAGTCAAATGGCTCATCAAACTTTTATGATAGAAATATGTATGCAGAGGCAAATTATCTAACCGCACTTGTTGTCATTAGAGGCCAGGTAGAGTTGTGTACGAGGGGAAATTGACAAATCTGATCTGACTGCCAAGTTGGTGGTCACCATGCTGAAATCAACGGCTCAGGTGCTCAAGAATAAAGGAGAGTACACAGAACCTTGACGAAATGAAATTACAAATTCCATGCCATGCCTATCAGTCATTTTCGTAACTACATTCATGAAGCTTCACCCCTATTTTTTGGTCATCTTACAATTGATTCTGTACGAAATATGTCAGAAATAGAGAAATAGTAGATTTAAAAACGTTTGAATGATAGAAACAATAACACGAGCTGGTACTAATATCGATATTTTGTGTCTGGTGTGAGTATATACCACAATCATTCCTGCGCATGAAACCCAAAACATTGGGCACTGAGACAGATATCTAAAAAATTCACGTTGCGGCAGGAGTTCGATATATCAATCATGATGATAAATATATATATATATATGTATAGTATGGACAAGCTTATCTTTACGGTTGATCATGATAACAATGAAATATAGTTTCCATCTCCAGCACAGTCTCCATTTCCATTGTACATCTACACAAACGTGGTATTTTAGATGCTCATCTTGTTGGAAGCATTGGGGATAATATTCTACTTTACTCTATCGACAGAAACTGAAGATAGTAAATGTTGTGGAGGCGGAAAGTAAGTAGCTCACTCACTGGGCTACCATATTGCCAGGAACCTTTGGTATTAATAGCAAGATTAAGAATAGCAACACTGACAATAAGAGCCGTGGGAGGAGGCGACGGAAGTGACAGGAGTAGAGTTGTGGCTGCAGCCTTAGCAGCAACAAAAACAAAAACAACACTGAGAGCAAAAGTAATTGCAATCTCGTCCTCTTTGTGCTTCGCTTGACAGGCCTGACAATGATCGAGTTTGACAAAGGAATCAAATGATGTCGGCTGTCAGCGCGCGCCTGCACGCGGCAGATGGAGGGACAGAGTTGTAGAGCCAGTCCATGGGCGGTCAGACCAAACACTGTATGAGCGGACCAGTAAACAAGGGAGTTAGTTGGAAGTAAGCGACGGCCCAGTCCGAAAACAAGTTATCCGGTCAACCAGTCGATTGACTGAGTGAATAACTAAGGTGCCGCTCATGGGTGTGCACACATACATACAGACATTCAGCTAGCTGAGTGGAAGAACTAAGCGAACCTTCACATATATGTGCGCTTAAGTACAGTTAACGCGACAAGTTAGGACCCAACAAAAATTGTTTGTCGGTTGATGTGCACTTCACTTGAGTAGTACCTTCCTGATCTGTATCGGGAGCGTCACTGACCTTCTCTGTTGCGTTCTGTCAGTGGTGTGCCATACATAAAAGGCTCTTAGACTTTTCAAATCTGCAACAGACCACAATCATAAGCGGAAAAATTCAAGGAGCTTTGTGTCGAAAGGCACTTGGTTTGAAAGGTTGTATAGACCCAGATTCATCACAGGTAACATGCACGTCAGCATATGACAGGACGTTAGGACTTTCAAGACATGTGCATGTAGAAACGAGGGACCATTGTGTGACTGATAGCATGAC